TTGGTTTCCCAGTGTTTATTGCCACCGGATTTGCTTTTGATTTCTGTAATAGAAGAGCAAATTAAGCAGTTTAGTATTAGAGAAGCGGAAGTAATGAAAGCTCGAAAGTTCGACTGGCAGCTTTGCAAAAACGTATTTTGAGGGCACAATCTAAAGAAAGAAAATATAAGAATAATCGAAATGTTTTTAAGATATGTAAAGACGTCAGCGCCTTTCAAATATTTCAATTTTTTAGGAGCACTATTGTATGTTTCTCTGACAGTCAAAATCCATAACATTTTGACCCGTCATATTTTCGACATTTACCCCTTTACTAGATACATGGAGAGTAGCGATAGTAACCTCAACTTACCGTAGCTTTCCCTTTACTTTAATCATTCGTTCCGTGATGCTTTCAGCAGCAGTATCCTAAATTATGTGAAGAACTTTGAACAAATCTGCAAAATTAGAGGGAAATAGCTCACGATATTTTCTGGTATTCTGTTTTCATTTCCTTGATTTTCGGTAGATCTCAAAAATCTGGAGAAGCGTGAGTTCTGAAAAGCGAATTAAGCAGTAAGATGCGTGCATATTGCATAACAAGGAATTGGAGTTTTTCACAAATAAAAATTTGCTAATCAATGCTACTTACGTGTTCGAACCTAGCGCTTTTCTCTAGTGCTTGCTCGGATATGCAGATGAAAAAGCCTAGAAGAAGCAAGTGCCGAGTATGCAGCATTACTGTTCATAACTTTCGTGACATTCCTTTTATATACGGTTTATAAGCACAAGTAAACATGAGTGCACAAAGCGAACAGCATAAACATTGTTATCCTTTCAATACCTTGGGGGTATCAACATTTGCCATCGCCATCAAAGATGGCATGAATGAAGTTCTTGGTTGCATTCATCAGCGACATCTACATCGTGTTGTGCTGAAAGAGCATGACAAAACACATTAATATTCGCAAAGTTATTTATTATATTAAGTTTGAGCAGCGATTTTTGCCAGTTTACATGCAAGAGCGTGCTAATATGCTTTTGTAAAAAAAATTGGTGACAAAAATCCATTATTGCTAGGAACACTACATTTTAGAAGACTACAAAAGCAGACCTCTTCCTCATTAACTCCATTCTCAGTAATTGAAAAGACACGACACATTAAGTGGCGCAATGAACAAGTATCTACATTACTTCATCGAAAATTTCTCGATAGTCTTCGATTAATGTGGACACAAAATGTGCTCGAACTCATCATATCTCTTTTTTGTTATTCAAACTTTACCACAAGCCACAGAGTTTATTAAGTAAATACAGATTAATCAAAAGATGTAAAAACTCTGAATTATTGGCAGCTGGCAGATCCTACTTAAGGTCAGATAGGGAGACACATTAAACACGTATGAAAACAATTACTCCTTGTATAGTTACTTCCTTCAAAGATGAATGATAAGATCTCTTATAACTATGGATGCTGTGGTTGAAAACATAATTGTATAACAAAAACCTTAGCCCTAGAAATGAATGCCTTCTTCGCTTCTCCTTCGTCTCAGCAGGATTTTATGAATGTTTCCTTGATGGTAAAACTATTTACTGTATTGTAATATTTATTGTCTATTATTGTCTATGCTCAATTAAAGTAATTATGGTTTATAATAGCCATTGTTCCATGAAAAGAAGTGGTTAGCTGCAACTTCATCGTATAAAATGTGCCCTAAAGTTACTTTATCTAAACATTTCATGATTCTAAAATAATAAATTACAAACCATCAGCTAAGAAAATTGCTGCTACTAAACAGAAAAAATGTCAGTGCTTACCAAACCAGTCATACAGGCTCGTACCTTCTGTCACTCAAAATGAGGTGCCCCCATTTGAAGTGATAGTGCAACTTGTACAGCTAAGATATATTGCGCTAAAAGGAGAATTTCATGTACTAACCTTTTAAGGAAGCATCACTTCAGAAATATCGTCGATGTCATACTGAGATCTCTTTCTATACTATTTTAACTCCACACTAAAAATCCAGCTCACTCTATCACTGAATTGGTTTTACAACTTTTTTGGTTTTTGTATTTATTTGCCTTGTTAATGACTCTTCAGTAAAGTCGTGCATATAGACTTTCTCGTAACTCTTCTTCTACTGTTCAAATCTCAGCTTCATCTCTTTGTTAGCCACTACTGAGTTTAGCTCCTAAGCATAAATAGAATGCTAAACAGGCGTACTTCTACCTGCGCTAATTCTTTGACAGAGCAGGAAAAAAAATGCGAATTCGCGTGTTTTTCGCGTTTTCTTTGTGACATGAGTGTTTTTGCACCTAAATTACACGTTTTACAACAGTGGATTCGCATTTGAAAGCTCTATTTAAATATACCAATATTTTTTCGATTGAATCACGTTGTAGGAAGTTTTTAAAAAGTACCTGGAGTTGCAATTTAACGAGCAAGACGTCGCTAAAATTACCCTCAATGGCAGCCTGAAGGATCTCACATATCGAGAAGGTAAAAATGAGAACAAAATAGGTTATATTTCAAATATTTGAATTCAGCTCATCACTGCGATTATATCCCAAAAATGGAAAATCCTGTAAGCATTTGTTGACTTCACACAACAAAAATTGATTTACAAAGTTTGTCAGAAATCCTAAACTGAAACTGTATTAAATTTACACATATACTAGAAACAGTACAAAAATCGCTGACAAGCTCAAGCGCACAGAGATAAGCAGATTTTCTTGAAAAAAATTTATTGCATGTTACGGCGCACCATCAATTTTGTTCATCATGCTATTCAAATCGATAATTTTTCTAGCGACAAAGCGATTTGGAACCCACAATGTTACCCAAACAAGCATATAAATAAAATATAATCACCTTTCGGTGCACCATATCTTTAATATCGTTTCCCAAGGGCAAATTTTTACTTGTAGGTAAGGGTTGTGCATATTTTTAATGTTTGGGATGAGGTCTCGAGCATGTAAGTAACCGTGTTCATACAAGTCATTAGAACCTGTTACATCCATACCTAAAATATCCTCTAACTAAATGTGAGTTGTTGCACTTGCTCCTATTAAGTTT